GAGCCCCGTCTCGCCCCTCTCCTCTTCCCGGATCCCCACTCCACCACGGCACCACCTCGGCCGCGCCGACGACAGCTCACCACCAGCAGCAGCCATGGGCGGGTCATCCTCCACCGCCAACGCCTCCGCGGAGGCGCGCGAGCTGCGGGAGCAGGAGACCCTCGCCTCCGCCTCTCTCTCGCTCCCTCCTCCGCGCCGTCTTCTCCCGCTCCTCCGACCTGGCGGAGACCCCCTACCCGCCGGAGCACTTCCACGACCTCCTCGCTCGGGGGCCTCCGGCCGGCGAGTGGCGCTGGTCAAGGGGTGCCGGACCCAAGTGAGGCTCATGCCTCCCAGCGTCATCAGTATCTAGGTACCTATCTTCAACCCTGATAGCTAGCTGATTCTGGGGCTGACACAAGGGAGGACTGGGACTCCGAATGCATTGAAAAACACTAACCAAATAACAGTACACTGTATATGACCAACACCACCCAATGACCCAACTGCGACTTTTGTGCATCAGCTTTATGACTGGAGTCGTTGTCGGAGAAAGCCATCCAATACTACTCCTACACAATAACAGGCTGCTGTCAAGTGCGAGCAGAGTTCATCCCACAGAACGCCGAGTCTAAGTCCAGAGGAGAAAACCATGCAATCCAAGTTGTTGTTAAGTGTGAACCTGCGATAATCAATCACGGCTAAAACTGTTGAGGGGTCGTTGTCTTGCATTTTAGGATTTGAAAATTGATCATGTGCGTATGCAAGGCAATGCTTTAGTCGCTCTCTAGGCTGCAGGAAAACAAATTTGTATACTCTCTCAAGGTATGCATTGACTGTTTCCACAAGCTCACCAAGTCAAGGTCTTCCACTCTTCCTTACTTAAGAAGAGAAGTACTCTATGGTTGCTTCTCATAACTTGGCTAGCCAGCACTGTCCATGGCCATGGCATTTCGCCTCATTATACTCGCACTGGTACCGCTGCTGGCGACCGTGCTCGCTGCTCCTTCCCTTCCTAGCAGCAATGACACTGACCTCGACGCGCTGCTCGCGTTCAAGGCGCGGCTGTCCGACCCACTCGGCGTCCTCCGCAACAGCTGGGCCACCAATGTGTCCTTCTGCCGCTGGGTCGGCGTGTCATGCGGCCGGCGCCAGCGCCATCGCGTCACCGCCCTGGAGTTGCCGGGCGTGCCCCTCCATGGTCAGCTCGCCCCTCACCTTGGAAACCTCTCCTTCCTCTCTGTTCTCAACCTCACCAGCTCCAACCTCGTCGGCTCCATCCCCGCCGACCTCGGCCGGCTGCGTCGCCTTAGGCGGCTCAATCTTGCACACAACAGCTTGTCTCACTCCATTCCATCTACCTTTGGGAACCTTACAGGTCTCCAAGTTCTTGATTTGGGCAGCAACATGCTGTCTGGTCAAATCCCAACAGAGATGCAAGGATTGCGCAACCTTGCCTACATAGCTCTGCATGCCAACTACTTGAGTGGTCCGATACCTGCTCATCTGTTCAACAACACACCTCTGCTAAGCTATGTTTCCTTTGGGAACAACAGCCTGTCTGGGTCGATACCTGACAGCGTCAGCTCCTTGCCCATGCTTGATTTCCTTGGCCTGCAGCGAAACCAGCTCTCTGGACCAGTTCCCTCGGCCATTTTCAATATGTCTAGACTTAGGATGCTGTATATGGCCAGTAACAATCTGACTGGCCCTGTTCCTAGCAGCAATGGCAGCCTTAGTCTCCCCATGTTGCAAGTAATATCCCTCTCTCAGAACTACTTCACAGGTCTGATTCCTTCAGGCCTTGCTTCGTGCAAGAACATCAGGATCATCTCTCTATCTCAGAATTTCTTTACGGGTCCTGTGCCGGCATGGCTGGGTGAGCTGCCGTTCCTTTCCGGCCTTTTAGCTGGGGGGAACGAACTTGTTGGGCAAATCCCTCATGTTCTTGGGAATCTTACCATGCTCACCAGGCTTGACCTCTCATTCTGCAAGCTCAATGGAGAGATCCCGATTGAATTGAGCAAGTTGAGACAGCTCAATATTTTGGAGCTTTCATCTAATGGACTCACAGGTTCTTTTCCTGCTTTTCTTGGCAACTTGACATCATTAACCGCAATAGGGTTGGCCCTCAATCTACTGACCGGGTCAGTACCAGCAACACTTGGGAACATGAGATCACTACAACTCCTCGATCTTGGATCAAACCGCTTCCAAGGGGAGCTTGGCTTCTTGGATGGTCTCTCAAATTGCAGGGAGCTCCGTCTCGTAAATTTGCAGGTGAATGATTTCAGTGGAGGCCTTCCTGACTATACTGGAAACCTCTCCAAGAAGCTTGTGATTTTTGATGCAACTGGCAACAAGTTGACAGGAGGAATTCCATCGACAATATCAAATCTAAGTGGTGTCAGCTCGTTGATCCTTATGAACAACCAACTAAGCCAGTCGATCCCAGAATCCATCACGACTATGGAGAACCTTGAGAGGATTGACATCTCAGGGAATAGCTTTGTTGGTCCCATCCCGGCGCAAATTGGTATGCTCAAGAGACTGGTACAATTATTTCTCTACAACAACAAATTCTCTGGTTCTATACCAGATGGCCTTGGTAATCTCACTTTGTTGGAATACATTTCCTTGTCTTATAACAATCTGTCCTCACATGTGCCAACAAGCTTGTTTCTTCTTAATAACCTTGTTGAACTGAATCTGTCCCATAACTCTCTGACTGGTGCATTACCTTTTGATCTCGGCCACATGAAACAGATTAACAAAATAGATCTCTCCAACAACAACTTGGTTGGCAGCCTACCAGATTCCTTTGGACAGCTCCGGATGCTAACTTACCTAAGCCTGTCTCACAACTCATTTCAAAATTCTATTCCATACAGTTTTCGTAATTTAATTAGCTTAGGAACACTAGACCTATCTTCCAACAACTTCTCGGGTACCATCCCAAAGTACTTGACAAACTTAACCTACCTCACAAGCCTGAACCTGTCCTTCAATGAGTTACAAGGTTCGATACCAGATGAAGGTGTTTTCAGAAACATCACCTTGCAATCTCTGATAGGAAACTTCGGTCTGTGCGGTGCTCCCTGTTTAGGGTTTTTGCCATGCCTTGGTAACTCTCACCCTGTTAATAATGGACATTTGCTAAAATTCCTACTACCTTCTTTTGCTTTAACATTGGCGGCTATGGCTATGTGCCTATACCTGCTGATAAGAAGGAACAATCTGAAGCAGGGAGAGGTAACACCTGCTGCTGATGGAGTTGATCCAGTCAGCCATAGGTTAGTGTCCTACCACGAGGTTGCTCGTGCCACTGAAAATTTCAACGAGGACAACCTACTTGGAGTTGGAAGTTTCGGAAAAGTTTTCAAGGGCCAACTGGACGATGGTTTGGTGGTGGCGATAAAAGTGCTCAACATGCAATTCGAGCAGGCCGTGAGGAGCTTTGATGCTGAATGTCAAGTGTTGCGGATGGCCCGGCATCGCAACTTGATACGGATATTGAATACCTGTTCCAACTTGGATTTTAGAGCACTGTTGCTTCAGTATATGCCCAATGGTAGCTTGGAGACGCACTTGCACACTGAAAATAGCGAACCACTAGGATTCATCAAGAGACTGGACATTATGCTCGGCGTGTCGGAGGCAATGGAGTATCTGCACCATCATCACTGTCAGGTTGTCCTACACCGCGACCTGAAGCCTAGCAATGTGCTGTTGGATGAGGACATGACGGTGCATGTTGCCGACTTTGGCATTGCGAAGTTATTAGGCGATGACAACTCCATGGTCTCAGCGAGTATGCCAGGGACAATTGGGTACATGGCCCCAGGTACGTGCTTGGTACGACCATGCCTGGGCAATTCATTTGCCAAGAAATTAGCTGCTATTAGCCTGTTACTTTGGTTGGCTAACGCTGTCAACTTTTTCCTTTCTTGTACAGAGCTTGCGTACATGGGGAAGGCGTCACGGAAGAGCGACGTGTTCAGCTTTGGGATCATGCTGCTCGAAGTCTTCACCTGCAGGAGGCCCACAAACCCCATGTTCCTTGGAGAATCCAGCCTCAGGCAGTGGGTTTCGCGAGCATTCCCAGCGAGGCTCGTCCATGTTGTTGACGAGAAGCTGCTGCAAGGTGAAGAGATGAATACTACTACATCGGCATTGGCTTCCAGTGCCTGCAAGGGCGACTTCCTTGTGTCGACATTCGAGCTGGGTCTGGACTGTTCGGCCGACTCTAGTGACCAGAGGCCGAGCATGAGCGATGTGGTCGCTAGGCTGAGGAACATCAAGAAGGATTGCTCTGCTTGCGTGGCAGCGAAGAAAAAAAGGTCTCAGCGGCATTGATCGGTCTATGTGGTGATGTGTTTTGTTCTCCGTGTTAGTGTTAGCAAATGGAGCATGATGCTGGTGCGCTGCTACATCTTCGGTTAATTGTACCTACCCAGGTAGCGGAGTTGTAACATGATGTCTTCTGAATATCTGCCCAATATTTTAGGAACTGCCTCTCGCCTTAGGGCTCATTCGGTTTGGAGGATTTTATAAAGTAGGAATTAGTACTAGTATAGGAATCTTATAGGATGACACTTGTCATCCTAAGGAATTGACTCGCCTCGTTCCTACACGTAAAATGAGCTTTGAGTGGATGTGTAATTTCCTTCAAAAGCATAGGAAATGAATAGTATTCCTACAAAATTCCTGTACACATTTCCTACAAACCGAATGCATCTATAGGAAATTTTCCTCCGGGATCCTTATTCCTATGTGTTTCCTATGAAAATCCTCCAAACCGAATAGGCCCTTAGTGTGACCAGCAGAAAACATTTGAACAGTACAAATTTGGTTACGCTTCCCACGAAGGCTAGCGTATACTGAAAGTCCACGTCTCCGTCATCTTCTACCGTCGTCCTTTGGAAATCTCTCCAGCTCTAATCCAACTCCAGAATCCAGATCACCAAATTTGAGTTACCGCGTCGGCAATCCATCAAACACCTAGACCCCGCGATCCAGCTCTCTCCCAGGCCGCCACGCGGTCCCCCTCCTCTCTCCCCTCTCCGCCCCTTGGACCCCCCAAGAGCCGAGCCCCGCCCCTCCCCTCTCCCCTTCCCCGATCCCCACTCCACCACCGCGGCCGCGCCGACGACATCTCACCACCACCAGCAGCCATGGGCGGGTCCTCCTCCACCGCCAGCGCTCCCGCGGAGGCGCGCGAGCTGCGGGAGCAGGAGGCCCTCGCCTCCGCCGCGCTCTCCCTCCCGCTCCTCCGCGCCGTCTTCTCCCGCTCCGCCGACCTGGCCGCGACCCTCTCCCTCCCGCCCACCTCCTTCCGCTCCGCCCCCCCTCTTGAAACTCCGGCGCACTTCCAGGACCTCCTCGCAAGCCTCGGCCCCACCATCGCCTCCCTCTTCTTCCCCCGCGGCGCCTCCGAGGACGCGGGGGCGGGGGGCTGGCTCGGCTTCCTCAAGGGGTTCAACTCCTGCTGCGCGCGCGCCCGGGCCTCGCTGCCGCTGGCGGTGCTCCTCCGCGTCTACGCCGCGGCCTGCGCCGCCGCGGGCGCGCCCTGCGGCGTGCAGTTCCGCCCCGGCGAGGACGGCGGCGGGGATGAGGAGGGCGGGAAGGTCGTGGGGGAGCTCGCCCCCGGGGAGATCGCCGTGCTGCTGTCCATGTGCTGGGTCATGGCGTGGAGCGGCTTGGCGCCGAGGGTTTCGGGCGGCGAGGAAGGGGGGAAGGGGGAGGCCGTGCTGCTCCCGGACGTTTCGCACCTGGTGCTGTCGGCGCTCGTGTCCGCGGGCGCCGTCGCAGATGACGAGGGTGTATGGGGCTGGGAGGTTTCTGGTGCCGGGAAGGGGGTTTCGGTGCAGGAGTTCACGTCCTGGGTCATCTCGACTGTCCCCGGGCTTGGCAACTGCCTCTCGCGGTATGTGCAGGACAGGTTCCGGTCGTCTGAGTCTGATCCAGCGAAGGTAATCCGATTATGCATTGCGGAATTAGTTGCTATTCTGAAAGATTGAATAGCTTGTTTAGTATCAACTGTGGTGCCGTTTGATGCGGCATTGCCATTGTTCAGTTATAGGTGCATATAATAGAAGGTAGATGTGCAAAATGGTGGGAAAATTTTACTCATCTATTTCCACATGTTTTCCCTTGATTATATTATATCTTAGGTCTTGTGCTGCCAGGAGGCATATATAGAAGATTTAGCTTCTTATGACATGTTATAACTTATAAGTTGCCAGAGCACTTAATTTCATGATCAGCTGTCCTGGCTACTCTGGTTCTACAAATTATCAGCAAGTTCTGCATTATGTACATTCTCAGTGCTTGCTAGAAATTCGGATTGTTCTTCTTTATATGTGACTGTTCAGAACTCACTTAACAATCCAGGTAGGAATTGTGAAGATATCCAGACATAGATTCTGAGCTTGGTGTATAGTAATTGATAACTAACTCCAATGCAGAGGCTGGGAAAAATCGTTTAAAAAACCGTTAGTTGCTTCAGAATATTTTATTAGCACTAAGCTGAAGCTCCTGCAGGAGGAACTCATGGAGTTCACGACCTCATTATTTTGCTGCAACAATGAATCTTTATTTGTTTTGTCCAATTATTTAGAATCCTATCTGATGACTTTATAATAATGAAGCTTAAACTTGGCATAATATTTCTTCTAACCAGAGTTGTTTCTTACAAGCAGGAAAGCTCTGTTTCAACTGGTAACACAACTTTTGATACTTGTGATGCATATCTATTAACACGTGGGAGGGCATGGTCAATCTCTCTCAGCGTCAGAAACACATTGAGTGAAAAGTTTTTGTCAGCATCTGTCATTGGAATGGACACAGGAGACCTTCTTTATAGGTTACTTCTTGCCCTTTTTTGCTTCGTATTCTCGTGATTATCTTTGTAAGCTACTCCCTCCGTCCCATAATATAAGAACGCTTTTGACAATAGTGTAGTGTGAAAAACGTTCTTATATTATGGGACAGAGGGAGTAGTTTTCTTGTCAAGATTGTAAGTTTCAGTTGTTATCAGGTGATCTTGTAAAATCCTGTCTTGACCTGATTACATTATAAGTTTTAATCCTGATCTAGAACATATTTGTAGGTCATCGCTTCATGGAAAAGGTCTGAGCCGGTTTTGGTCTTGTGTTGAGGGGTATAAGGGACCAGCGCTAATTCTTCTCTCGGCATTCTCAAATTCTGGTAGTGAGAATGTTGATGCTGGCCGAAAATGGGGAATTGGTGTATTAACTGAGGATGGATTTGAGAACAAAGACACTTTCTACGGTAGCTCTGGGTTCCTATGTGCCACATATCCAATATTCCGCATGCTTCTGCCATCGGGTATGACTTTTGTTGCTTATGTCCTTCGCCACATTTGATTCTAGCTTACTGTTTGTCTAATCTAGCAGGTAAGGAGAAGAACATCATGTATTGCCACCTGCATACTCAACTAAAGACGTATGAGGCAACGCCAAAGCCTCTTGGCTTAGCATTCGGTGGATCAATTGGAAACGAGAGGATCTTTATCGACGAGGACTTCTCTAAAGTTACAATTCGCCATCATGCAGTTGACAAGACTTACCAACATGGTTCTCTCATTCCCAATCAGGTTAAATTTGACATTTGGTAGTTCTGACTAAATATCTCATTGTTATTGCTATAACCACCTTAGTATAATCTCGAAAGAACTCTTAGGCCTTGTACAATGCAAGGCGCTTAGGGGAGGTGCTTAGAGAAATAAACTAGTGTTTCTTTAAGCACCGGTGCTTATTTGTAGAGGGTAGACGTTTAATTAGGCGCCTCTCATGTAGAAATAGGCGTTGGTGCTTCGGAAAACCCAGTTTATTTTTCTATAAGCACCTCACTAAGCACCTAGTATTGTACAAGGCCTTAGGTCCAGTTTCTTGCTCCCATGTTCCGTAATCCTGTCAGCAAGGAACCTTCATTTCTGTCTTGGCTCTGAACTACAGGTTGTTTGAGTTAGCTAGTTTATTTACCCCAAAGTAGCAAAACCAAAGTGCTTTTAAAATCCAAACATAGTGCCAAAGGCAACAAGGGTAGATGGATGATAGCCACTCAGTGGCCAACTGGCCATGTAAATTACTTGCTATAGGTTATGAAAGTTTTCCTCTGTAGGGCATAACTGCACATCACTGTTTTTCATTTGAAATCTGCAAGCTTTGGCAGTAGCAGTATGTGGCCTCAAATAAATACTTCATGAGCCTAGCTCACAGTCCAAAATGCCACTGAAAGCAGATTATGATATTACTCCATTATTGTGATGTAGGGTTATTTACCTGTTGAGGCTTCAATACTTGACTTCGAAGTATGGGGGCTTGGTGGACAAACAACAAAGCGGCAACAGGATATTTTCAAGAAGAGGGAGGATATTTTCTCAGGGCAGCGGAGAAAGGTGCTACGCCGAGCAAACAAGGACCCTTCTCCAGTGATTACGAGTCGAACGACTAGTCTAGACTAGTCGCTCGACTAGTCTACGAGTCGCAGAGTGGATGTCGACTCATTTTCTCGTGTAGACTACAAATACGAGTCGAGCCGTGTCTGGACTAGTCGACGACTAGTCTGGACTAGTCGACATATATGAGTCGAGCGACTCAAAAAAGAGAGCTGCCTCAGCTGGGACGAGGCGCCGCCAGCACCCACTGCCCTGCCGCCGCCGCCGCCACCCACCGCACCACCCACCGCAGGGACGGCGGATGGCGCAGCCAGGTGCGGCGGCCGGCCGGAGCTCGTGCTCAGGCGGCGGCCATGGCCGTGACCCGTAGGGGCACGCGGCCTTGAGACGGGAGAGAAGGAAGAGAGAGAGAGGAGAGGAAAGGAGGAGGCATGGCGGTGGTCGGCGGGCTCGCCGGCGGTAGCGGCCGGGACCGGCGGAAGGCGGCAGGAGGCGCGGGTCGCGTGCGCGCCTGCTCTCGTGCGTGATGGCGCTGGCGGCGGCGATTGGAGAGGTCGGGAGCTAGGGTTCCAGTGGCTGGGGGCTAAGTAGGCTGGCCATTTGGGCCCAAATGGGCCAGCTGGGGGTGATGCGTGGTGCTGGGCTAGTATTTAGACAGTGGCTGGTCCCATTCCATACCCACTTGGGCCCAGAACACTGCATAGCTCAATGATTTAGACGGTGGCTGGTTTTATTGCATACTGTACTGTTAGTATATACTACATACTACCACTAGGTATTAGTAGCTGAGTACTACAGTATCATGTCGACTAGTCTAGCACTAGTCTAGACTAGTCTCGATTAGTCTATGAGTCTCTACCTCGGAACGACTCGTCGACTTGTCGACTCGTAAACCTTGCCCTTCTCTACAATGTACAGCACTGTTCAAATGTCCATAACATTTCCTTCCTTTTTTTTCAGATTGATCTCGCAGCTTTTGGCAATTGGGAAGACTCTCCAGAGAAAATGATGATGGACATGGTTTCTGACCCAAACAAGGCCCGTCGGGAAGAACGTTGATTTAGTTTTATGGCCAAGCTCATTTGCTAGTGTTCAGCAGCTACCCATACAAAAGTGGACACAGAAATGACAATATTACTTTTGAGGTATATAGAGGTCATTTGCATGTATTCGCCCCTTTGATGTTAAAGGCATTTGGCAGGACCACTCATAATTTAGGTTCTGAATTGAACAGAGGCTTTGTATAGAATTACAGTTGTTACAATAGTGCCTGAGTTTCCTTCTCATCTTCCCTTTGTTTTAGGGGAAGCAAGAGCAAACGATTTGTACATCTGTGTTGTAAATTAGATAATCATCATCTGTACCATACTGTTATATACTCCCTTGGATGTACAGATAAACTTCATATATCTGTTAATAAGGGATGTACCCAAGGAGTATTGTTATATACTCCCTTGGATGTACATCTGCATGAAAGTTGCCCATCTCCCTTGGATGTCTGATAGTGTCACCTTTTGCTTGACAGATTCGTGATGCTGTATTTTTCTCAAGGGAAGCTTCCATATATACAACTAGTACAACAGAAGATTCAATAGAGAATGCCCTAGAAGAAGAAGGATACTTGGTGTTTACACTAAGGGCATTCCTTGTCAGAGGATTCCATTTGTGGGGAAGAGGATTCCATGGCCGCACCTTTGATTCTGTCTCTGATACTGTGCAGTTCAGCGGCAACATATTTCATGTTCATTCTCTCAGATGGTGTTTCCTTTGAGCACAAGATGCCGACTCTTACAACAGAAGCTAAGCAAACTAATGCATTGTTCAACCTTGTATCATCATCGTCGTCTGGCTGGACCTTTAGCAGAGTCGGGTCGATGATTTCTGAAAGCCCAAAGTCGGCAACCTTGGCAGTCCAGTCACTGTCAAGGAGGATGTTGCCAGGCTTCAAATCGCAGTGAATTACTGATGGCCGACTATTATTGTGAAGATGGTCTAGTGCATCTGGAAACATCGACCGCTATGTTCAGCAGGCGGACAATACTCTACTTGTGCTACGGCTCGTCTGTTCTTGGATGCAACCATCTGTCAAGGCTAAAGTAGAGCAACAGGTGTTCATGTATATCAAGTTCCGATGTTTAACTCGTCTGAGAGCCATACACTCTGCCAGGAATTTCTGGCAGAGCCAGCTTGGTGAAGAGTGAACACTTTCACGGCTACAACACCATTCCTGACAGATGGAATAGACATGTTTCCTTTATATATGGAACCATATTTTCCGGCACCAATCAGATTGGCAGGTGCAAAGCCATCTGTAGCTTCAAACATTTCATGGTATGTAACTCTGGGATACTTTTCACCCAACATACCGAGGCCAGCAATTTTCATCCTGTCCACTGTCATTTTCCGCCTGAACATAAAGATTGCACACAGTAAACATACATATGCATGTAGCAATGCCGGCAACTGGAAGCAGAATACTAGGCAGCAATTGTTGTTTCTTCTTATGCAGCTTTACCTGTCATGGAGGCAATTTCAGTTCTGGAATGCCACCACAAAGCCCACTGTTGTCAACTATTGAGAATCGACTCATGTTTGCGAACACGCCGCTTGAAGGCACCTCATCGTCCATATGGTTAAAGGAGAGGTCCAGTTCAATCAAAGCACCCGAGTTCTGGGAAAGTTGTTGAATGCCCCCAGACAGGTTATTTTGTGCCACATATAAGCTGCTGCAACCTATTGATTTTGGCCAACTCACTGCCGGACAAAGCATTCTTTGTGAGATTTAGTCTGCTCAGACCTCTCAAATTACCTAGTGATGGGGGAATACTCCCTGTGAAGGAATTATCATCCAAAGTTAGGTACACTAAGCTTGCACAATCCCCTAGTTTACCTGGTATTTCTCCTGATAAGTTGTTTTTTGACAGATCCAAACTTGCAATATTTATCAGCCTTCCAACTTGTGGAGAAAGAACACCCGACAAATTGTTATTGGACAAAGATAAAAAAATCTGTCCACAAAGGAAGGCTAAAGATCTCATCAGGGACAACCCCAGTAAGTAGATTAGAGGATAAGTCCAGGCTAGGTAACTGCTGCAAGTTTCCAAGGCTTTTAGGAATGGGGCCGTCGATTCTATTGTTCGACAAGGAGAAATTCTGGAGCAGTGTGAGGTTGCCGAAAGACAACAATGTTTGCAGGTTCTTAATTCTCCCAATCTCCTCTTGAATAGGACCATGCAGTTTGTTCTCCCCTAGCTTCTTGGTCGGCGAGGTTGACAAGGTTTCGGATACCCAAGGGGATCATCCCAGCGCGTCCAGTCATGGTATACGGCTGCGTCGACGTCGTCCAGTAGGCCTGCGTCGAGCTGCCGTGCGTGCTCGCCAAGGAGAGGCCAGCGTGTACTTACCGTGTGGAGGCCGTCCAGCGAGTCCATGGCGTACATGTGCGTCAAAGCCCATCCTCCAGTCTGAGGCCGCGTTCTGCGGACGGAGTTTGGAAATTCAGGACAACATGGTCGAGAAAAAACCGCGATAGGGTTTTCTCCAGGATGCTTCGATCGCTGCGTCGGTGGAGCAGGAAAGGTTGAGCTAATCAGCTAGCAAGCCGCTGACCAGAAAACTCGGAGTTTCCGAGAGCCAGCTCTCGGTAACAGTCACAGTACAAGCAGTCCGTGCGTGGAGGACAAAGCCCTACGTATTTTTTGGTCCAGATCCAACGATTGTAACGGAGATCGGATGGATGGTTTAATGGCCTGAGCTTTCCGTGGACAGTTTTTCCCTTGGCCACAACGACGTGCCACTCTTCCTCGGTTGACCGCTGAGCAAATATCAGCCATTTCCTCCCCCTACGTACGTCAGCCAGTCCATCCTCAAATAACATTGTCAGGGAACCAAATCTTGAAGCCGGCGAAACCGTGGATAATTAGTCCAGCAGTACCGTGTGCAGACTAGTTTTCTCACTGTACCTGACTGCAACTAGTTAGACTGACCGAGACACCTATTTTGAACACCAAGATAATCTGTACAAGTGGTTTCTGCAATTTCCTCCCCCGGCCAGCGGCTCGTACTTTGATTCTTTTGGTTTTCCAAGTCTTCCCTTGGCGACAACGACGTACCGTTTGTGAGCATATACTTTCTTCGGTTCTTTTTACTTCGCATATTAGATTTAGATTTGAGTCAAGTCAAATTTTGCAAAGTTTGATCAAATACATATTAAAAAACATTAGCCTCTACAATACTAAATATATATTTCATGAAACTACATTTCGTAATGAATCTAACAATATTATTTTGACATTGTAAATGTTTGTATTTTTTCTATAAATTTGATCAAAGTAAAGATATTTTGACTTCGGATAAAACTTATATACAAACTAAAAAGGATCAGAGGAAGTATCAGCTATCCCCTCCCCCATCGTAGTACAAATCTCCTCGGCTCCTCCACAGCTTCAGGCAGTCCATCCTCAACCTTCAGTTCTTCAAAACACCTTACCAAAAGGAACCATGGCTGCCAAACCTACCTCATGCTTTACTTTCCTAAAGGAAGCGCTGATCCTCCCCACGTTAAACCCCAAGCTCTTCACGCCCTTGCTCCTCCTCTTTGCCGCCGCCGCCTTCCTTGACCACATAGTCGGTTTCGTGTTCGTCCAGCCTCTCGCCGACGTCGTGGCCAGCCATGTCTCCGAGGTCAACAACACCGACTTCTCGAGCGCCGAATACGCGGAGGTCATGGAGATGGGGAGGCCGTTATTGCAAGACGGTATGAAGCTCATCCTCATCGCCGTCTCCAAGGTGATGGTCGCCCTGGCGGTCGGCTTCGCCAAGAAGATCCTCTTCCTCTTCGCGGCCTCCACGACCTACTCCGGCGACCGCTACTCGCTAGCCGAGCTCCTGCGCGAGCTGGTCAAGGGGAGGATCAGCCTGAAGGCCCCGTTCATCACCATCGCCGTCGTCGGCGCGCTTGACTTCGCATGGGCGGTCCTGGCCGCGCTGCCTCCCGCCCTGATGCGCGGCCCCTCGGGGGTGCTCTCCGTCCAGGGTCTTGTCTCCCTCATGGCGCTCCTCGCCTCCCTCTACGTCACCGTCGTGGCGTTGGTGGGCGTCGCCGCGTCGGTGGTCGACAGGCGGTGCCGCGGCGTGCGGGCGCTCCGGCAGGCGTGGCGTCTCGTGACGCTGCTGAGGAGGAAGGAGGGCCTCCTGCTGGTGCTCGTGGCGCACTTCATGCCGACCGTCGTGGCTCCCCTCTACCGGGTTGCTCTTGTGTATGCCAAGACGAGCATGGCGCTGTGCTTGTGCTCGCTGGCTGTGCATGCTTTTCTGTCCTGTGCGCTGCAGCTCTTCTCTTTGATGGCAGCAACGGTGTACTACTACCAAGCCATGCAAAGCAAGGAGGTGATCGATGCCTTGTGGTTATGTTAGATACTTAGATCAATTCCTTCGGTCCTTCCGGGAAAGGAAGTGCCTCTCATTCATCAAGTGGTTATGCGCTAGTCCTGGTAGGTCTCGTTTTTCTTATCCAAGTTGGTCATAATGCTAGAGGGGTCTTTGATTTATCGTGCGACAATGTTGAGTGTCTTTTTTAGCTGCAATGTTATACTAGTCAGTTGTACTCCCTCGTATCAAAATACAAGACGTTTTTAGGCTAATTTCACTTTAAATGTCTTATATTTTGGTACAGAGGTGGTACACACTACATCAAAAAACACACGTCACTGGGTATAAAGTTGTACGCCGAGTGTTAAAGCAGGGGTTCACGGCAACATGACAAAAAAAAAAACCACTCGGCTTACTTCTACATAAGCCGTATATCCGCTAAGAAGCCGAGCACCTGATAAATTGCACTCGGCTTAGCGATGCACAAACTATATGTAGTGCAAAAAATGATTAGAGTAGTGAGTTGGACTTATAATTAGTTGTTGCATTTTTTTCTTTCCTCCTATTTCTCAATCATTCTGTCTAGGCTAATTTTCATGGCACTTTCGATCCCATTTCATCGCAGTTAGAATAGTCCGAGAGGCGTAATCGATCTACCGAGGACTAAAACAATCACATGAGGACGACATCGAGATTGTTAACGAGGTTCACCGATCCGGATACATCCCCAAGACCTGATATTGTGTATAATGATATATTTCTCTACAAATTTGACCACGGGCCTCCACACGGCCTGGCGCGGCCACCCCCTGACCGCATTAGGAGGCCGGGTGGGCTCCTCGTCCACCGCCTTAGGACGATTCCACCACCTAAAATTCCTATACATGCTAGAGAAAAATCAAAAAAAATCTCCGATGTGTTTTATGATAATTAAGGAGCCGCCGCCACCTCTTGTTCTTCATCTGGAGATCCGATATGAAGTCTGGTTTGGGCTCCGCAGAGAGGGATTCATCGCCGTCGTAATCAGCAACTCTTCTTCAACAACAATTCCATGGTGCTCAAAGAATTAGGCCAAAAATTAGGATACATCCTGGGAAAATGAAACTTCCATTGAAGAGAAGCAAATGAAACGCTTTCATAAAAATTCTCGTAGAATCGAGAATGAAGTTTTCAGTCTGTACATGCCAGATCATGAATTAGTAATTGCATCCAATCTCCGAAAAGTCCATAGTGTGAGTAATTCCTTCGTAGGCACATGGAAGTAGATCGGAATTGGATGAGATTTCTTATGTAATAGTGATGACTGATGAGTGATATTTTTACACTCATTTGAACCTTATTTAAACCGACATATTTCACTAAAAAGGAGATATTCGCTTCGATATTGCCACTAATGAACAATGAATGCAAAAGATTCACAAATCCTCTCTTCAATATATATTTTCACATGGAATGGGCTAAAAAGGAAAGATATCACGCAGGAGAAAGGAAAGGAAGGAAAATAGAGAAGAAACGAATCATCAGGATGCTTCAGAAGGACTCCAGAGCAAAAGACGGCGTTCCATGCGACCGCGACCGCTCACATGAGTGGTTGTTTTCCATGGAAACCAAGGCAACTCGTCCACCTGAACAACTTTTATT